CCGTTCGCGGGATTCGAACCTCGGACCGAACTACCAATGTTCAGCGACTTTACCTCTTCGGCCGCTCGTGGACCTGTTCGTACTGGAAAGCAATCTATTAAAAGGTATTGTAAAGCAGATTCTACGAGATGCGTACTTAAGAAAGTAATAAAGTGTGTGTGTATTTAATTATGGCAAAGCACACTAGGGCTATCTGCCTAAGGGGAGGGATGCCTTTATGGAGGACTTTGTAAGGGTTGGTTTGGTTTATTGGTTAAAACCACGAAAACACCCATGTAGAGAGCCCGTTCGCGGGATTCGAACCTCGGACCGAACTACCAATGTTCAGCGACTTTACCTCTCGGCCGCTCGTGGACCTGTTCGTACTGGAAAGCAAAATATTAAAAGGTATTGTAAAGCAGATTCTACGAGATGCGTACTTAAGAAAGTAATAAAGTGTGTGTGTATTTAATTATGGCAAAGCACACTAGGGCTATCTGCCTAAGGGGAGGGATGCCTTTATGGAGGACTTTGTAAGGGTTGGTTTGGTTTATTGGTTAAAACCACGAAAACACCCATGTAGAGAGCCCGTTCGCGGGATTCGAACCTCGGACCGAACTACCAATGTTCAGCGACTTTACCTCTCGGCCGCTCGTGGACCTGTTCGTACTGGAAAGCAATCTATTAAAAGGTATTGTAAAGCAGATTCTACGAGATGCGTACTTAAGAAAGTAATAAAAGTGTGTGTGTATTTAATTATGGCAAAGCACACTAGGGCTATCTGCCTAAGGGGAGGGATGCCTTTATGGAGGACTTTGTAAGGGTTGGTTTGTGGTTTATTGGTTAAAACCACGAAAACACCCATGTAGAGAGCCCGTTCGCGGGATTCGAACCTCGGACCGAACTACCAATGTTCAGCGACTTTACCTCTCGGCCGCTCGTGGACCTGTTCGTACTGGAAAGCAATCTATTAAAAGGTATTGTAAAGCAGATTCTACGAGATGCGTACTTAAGAAAGTAATAAAGTGTGTGTGTATTTAATTATGGCAAACACACTAGGGCTATCTGCCTAAGGGGAGGGATGCCTTCGTGGAGGACTTTCTAAGGGAAACTGGCTCGTATACACGTTACACATGGGGAAAACCACGAAAACGCCCATGCAGCCAGCCCGTTCGCGAGACTCGAACCTCGGACCGAACTACCAGTGTTCAACGACTTTATCGCTCGGCCGCTGGTGGACCCAAGAAAGTAATAAAGAAGAGTTTTAGAATGTGTATTGTTGAAATTGAGGGTAAAAAAAAATCTGATAAGTATAATTAAAAGAATTATTCCCCTTACATTTTATAATAACTCAGTTACAAGTTTTAAATAATATTTTTTAAAATCCTTTTTTTTTTTTTTTTTTTTTTTTTATTCCCTTTCAGAAACATTTAAGTACTATTTAACGTATTTCACTATTAAAATAAAAGGTGCTCTAAGTTCAAACGGACCAAATAGAGCATTAATTATGAACTGACTTAGATTTTTCAATTTAAAAGATGCCTCAGAAACTAAAAAAATATGTCAAATTTGAGAAAGTATCTTAGGAAGAAGCTCTATAAATAGAAAATAAATAATGCATAATTTTAATATTAATAATACAATAAACTTTGATCTTAATTTTTATAGTCCTTAACAGAATAAAATCGAATTACCTTAAATTTTTTAACGAAAACTTGTGAAAATATTTCATTCGAATTAAACCAATCTGAGCAAACTGTTCTGTGAAAAGTATAGCATTTAATTCCGTTCAAAATGAAATAATTGTTTAAAAATGTATTCTTTTCACATACTCAGGACTCTGAAATATTGTAGAAAAAGAAAATATATGCATTTATATGTATACTTACGACGCAATTACAAAATATCTGTATCGCATTGTATCAAAACCAATTGAACTTAACGGTAAATGACCCAATGTTTTGGTCACCACGAAGGGATCGCCAGTGCTTCAAAGCAGTGTAAGGGGGAAAACCCGATATATAGGGGCACTACGTCTTACTTCCTACCTCCATGAATTACCCACGCTTTTGAAATCGGTGAATTAACTTGGAATAGTTCTAGGAAATAATTTTAGATGAAGTGCAGCAAAAAGAAATATGAAGTGTAGCAAAAAGTCCATATAAAGTGCATTATTAAATTTATGTTTATATTTAATCATTAAAAATTTTATATTTACTGATTTATTTATGACATTTCTTCATCTTTCCTGCCTTCCACAGTGCTCCGGCATTTCTAATTCTAGAAATTAAATCTTACATAAATTGCAATATTTTGTACTTATATCGTTAATCTCTTAATACTACTTTATTTAACACACCAGTTTGAACTTTCTTAAGCAGCGGATTGCTGCATTTAAGCTGTCGGTATGTTTTCTCGTGCAATGATTTGTTGTTTTAAACATTTGTCTTCGCGACGAAAAGATTTCTTTAGTAGACATCAGATGGTGCCACCATAATAACTCATAGAACTTTTTCTGTCGATGTTCTTGAATTAATTGATCTTACTGATCGAAAAGTGACATAACATCGATTGGGATAGGATTCCAGTCCAGGCGCCCATTGCAACGAACGTTTCGTTCAAGGATGATATAAAAGACTGGGAATCATTACAAAAACATTTGTATAGAACCCTTCTAACGTAATTTTTCTTAATGCAGAAGATATCACTGATAGAAATAACATTTAAACATTAATAGCCTGATGTTGTCTAGAAGATTTTCCGTTAACATAAATAATAGATTGAACTATGTTATGCGTACTTTTACATTTGCATATATAGTATAAAAATTGAATCCTGTAAAAGTATAAAATTAATTTAAATCATAGAATTAGATAAAACATTAAATTTTTGAAATAAATTATTATAAAATTTAATTTTTGAAAGTAATGATGTTAATTATTGTTCCAACACAAAACAATTATTTTAAATTTTATTAAACCTAACTGTTATTTAAAATGTATATTATTACTTAAATATTTTTAAATGAAACTAATATTTAAATTTTTCATAAAAAATCGCCTTTTTGTCCCCTCCCCGCATCCATATCATGGATCATTATAGATTAAAAACTCTATTCAGTAAAGTTCATTCTTTTTAATCCCAAAAGATTTTTTTTTTTTTTTAATTTTATAGTGCTTTTAAATATTCCGAAGCTTTCATAGGAATGTTTATAGAAAATTTAGCTGAGGAAACCTGTTTAAAATTCCTTAGAATTAGAGCCCAATTTTCTATAAATTTGATCCGAAATTTTCCTTGGAATTCTATAGAAGGTAGACCTAGTTTATGAAAAATTGGGTCATAATTCTGAAGGATTCTAAAAAAGTTGAACAATGGACTTTTTTGTAGAATTCTATGAGACATGAAGGTGAGTTTATTTTCGTACGCAATTTTTTGCTTAAATTTTAGAGTGGTGCAGTTCTCTTCGAAGCATATTTTATTCATTATGTTTACGATATTAAATATCATTCCTTGTAAAATATTATTAACATTTTAAATGATTCGAATTGATTATATTGCTGGTAAGCAATGCATTTTTATAATAAAAAGATAAATGATATTATGAATACTGAGAAACAACAGAGGGCTTTCCGCTTCTTGATCTTCATTTGTAATGGATAGGATTTTATCTCTAATTAAAAACAAAAATCCTTTTGAGGTGCTGAAAAAATTTCCGTATGAAATCTATGAATCAACTAGAGTATCAACATAAATAACATATGTATCAACATAAAATTTCTCATTTTATTAATCATATTTATAACATCTGGAACGTTTCTAATATCTGAAATCTAAAAATATTTCTAATATCTAATCCTTTCCTAAAAACAGGCATTGGATTTATTGTCATTTTTATAATTATTTAATATGATTAAAGTGTATTAAAATTTATCTCCATAGCTATGACTTTTATTTAGTTATTAACAGAATAATGCAGCTTAAAAGTTAGGTTAAACTGTGTTTTAGAGTAAAGGTTTAAATATTTAATTTATTTGTAACTTTATTAGTATTACAGTTTTTATTAGTATTACAGTTCGTCAGCAGATGGCAGCACGGAAAACAATTTTGTGGCTTATTTTTAATACATTAAAATAAATATTAATGATTTATTTTATCTTTAAAATTATACTTTAAGTCGATTTTTTATAAGTCTGGCTACATATTATAATAAAAATTTAATTATTAATTCCTAAAAAAAATTTTAAAAGGCTTGAAATTACGATAGACTACAGTATAAACCTAATTAAATTTTTATTTTGATATTTATCATTACGCAAACCTGTAAAAAAGTGTAACCGAGTTTATTCTTCTTTTCGCTTACACGAACGTACTTAGATAGTTGTTAAATTGTTTGATCCCCTTTCGCTTTCAGAGAATATGTTTGTTCTTCCTTGCTATTCATCGTTGGGTCATGAACTGGTAATTACTCTGCATTAACTGGTAGCTGCTCATTAATATTGAATCGTATACATATATATGCATAAAATGATTATGTAAACATGAATAGCAACCGCTGTACTTCCCATTTTCCATTTTCTCAATCTTTATTGGAAAACGACAACCTGAAGTTTTCTAGAAATGTTGCATTTTTTTCACCTTTGAAATTTATTTTAAATGAAAAAATAGCTGCAAAATTATAATTATAAGGAATAAAATCTTTATTTTTAGAAAACTCTTTTAACAAAAGATTAAAAAAAATAAAGCATACCTTGTGTATATTATAATTTTCGCAATACCATTTCCATATCATGCATTTGCACTTTATGAATATACGGATTTTCAGGTGGCTAAAATTTATGCAATGCTATATATATGTTTACGTAAGTATGGCATGTTTTGTATAAATATATGTATATATATATATGTTATATGGTATGTGATTATATGTTTATACAGTTATATAAATATGGACTTCGCTTTTGTCAAGTTCAGAAATACAACTACGAGGACGGTAAACAACTCAACTTACGCTACTTTTGTTATAAACCACTACGAAGAGGTTTTGTTGTGGTAGTGAATAAACGCGTCCGAAGTATCAAAATTAATGCAATTATTAAGCATTTCTGGAGAATCGATTAGCTATAGAACATTTCCCTGTCTTTTTATCAGGCTGTAAGCTATACCAGCTACTATTATAATTATGGAATGCGAAGAAAGTGCCTCAGCGAATGTAAACTCCGCTGATAGTTTGCCTAATTCTGAAGCGGTACAAGTTCGAGTATCAGATATATTAACTGTTGACAACTCCCGCATGGCTCTTAAAAGAGTATGATTCTTTTTACCAATTTCTAAAAATGTACGAATTTAATCAAAATAATTGCTTAATTTAGTTCAGAAAATTGAATGGTACTGTTCTGTTATCAGGACCGAATCCAGAAATGTATGTATGCATATGTTTATATGTTTATGTATATATGTATGTGTGTATACATATGCATATATATATGCACATACATAGATACACACACGTGCATACATTTGTGAATCTGGCCCCGATAACAGAACAGTACCAATTGTATTTTATTATACGTTTTACCAATTTTCTCAAATGAGTATACAGTATGATATTGTGTAATATGTCATCCTTAAAATTAAAACTGATTTTACTTGCTTTAAGTTTTAAAAATCCAGGTGAAAACTGATAATTGTATGGAAAAAAGTTAGCTTAACTAAGCTTCAGTTTAGTTCCATACTTTAATTTTAGCATATTTTGAATATCAAAATGGTTATATAAATGTGCCATCATTGCTAGATCAGTGGCTTCCAAAAAAATTTTAATTCATCGTAATCTCATCACAGTTTTTCAATGATGTCCGAAGTCTGCGAGTTTACTATCACAAAGAATTTTATGATAGTGCATGCAGTTGATAGAGTTAAAATAAATGAAACATATTTACAAACAGTTTTTTTTTAAATGTATCAACTATAAATGGGCATACAGTTTGTATAAAATAAACATATTTTGAACAGTTATATCATTGACTAAATGGATCATAATTTGATTTGGAAAACAGGTTTTATTTTCATTTTAGAGGCATGAACTCGACTATCCTGAAAACTAGAAAATTTCAAATTCTGGATACTTGAGTGTAATATAAAAAATACAACATATTAAAAAAGCCAAAATTGTGGAAAAAATGTCCACTGTAAAATTATAAAATCAGTCATCATTACTCTTCTGTTATCAGGACTGTATTAAGAAATGTATATATGCACATGTACGTGTGCATATATACACACATACTACATACACATGCATGCATATATGCATACTTTTCCGAATTTGGGCCTGGTAACAAAGAGTAGTCGGTCATCTTGTTTGTTATCAGTTTGAATATCAAAAACCTACATGTAAAGTGCATGTAGATGCTTAAAAAATATACATACTATTTTAGTCTTATGAAAGCCAGTTTATTTCATAGGGCTGATCCGATTATGAAATCCTTGCTGAACATGAAAGTTGATGGAGATGTTGCAAAATAATTCTGGCAGAAGTTTAAATGAACATATTATTCTAAAGAATAAAGTGATACAAATTACAGATACAGCACATAAAAAACTAAAATTGTTTAATTAATTAAATTTACATTAAACCAAAACTTCTTATGATTGTATTGTGACAGTATGCTTATCCGTTATTGGCACTAAATCAGACTGTTTGGTGACAAAGTGTATGTGTTAATATCATTACAAGCTGTAATATCTTTCATTGACTAATTTTATATAAATTTATTATATTATTTTAGTATAAATGTTTTATTGACTATTTTTTCGGGAGAAAAATTTCTAAAATATTCCAGTTAATTGAATTTTCAAATTTTCTGGCTGTTACTGTACATCTTTTAGAACCTTGAAATCAAACTGGACAAAGCTAAGTCATTTCCCTGTTTCACTTTTCTCATGATGATTGCTTTTTATCACAGCTGCCATGGGAAAATGATAAAAACAGGACATTTTACATGGACCATTCTTCTTGAAATGGCAAAGTCTTTTTTTTTTTTTTCTGCTAAGGTATTTTTTCTTCATATAATGTTAACTAAATCTGACTGTCTTTAGAGAAGTAAATTCAAATAGAGCTTTATCTGTGTCAGATTTTTAATTTATGCCAACATCAATTAGGTGACCAATCATCATCCTTTAGGGAGGACAGTTCTCCTTTGGTAGGCTTTGTCCTTCCTCAAGAAGTGTCCTCTCAACTGTCCTCTTTTTCAGTATTTTACAACTAGTTACATGTTAATCGCCATGTAATGCAGTTTAAAAAAACATGATTATAAAACACATTCAGGGCATGTCAAAACTTCACGCATCCACACTTGTCTCACACCCTCACACTTTTGCGCTCTTTACTTTTTAATGTGTCTATAATGTTATAGTTTGCGTTTACATTTGACACAAATCCGAATTTCTTTCACTGAATAATTATTATACTCTGAGTATATATTTGTAGAAGATTTGAAAAATGCAGCATTTGTGACGGTTTTATCTGATGCCTCAAATCATAATGAAACAAAATTGTATCCAATACTAGTAAGATAATACAGTACAACGTCTGTAATCCGGACTCGTCAAGACTTCGGCGATTCCAGATTATAGATCATCGATTTAAATCTGGTAAGATGGCATGCAGAAATTATACAATTAAAAATATGAAACTGCAATTTATGAAATAAAGAGCAATTATCATCTAAAGGGTATCCAAATTTACAAAAAAAAAAAGTTCAATATTTATTTGTTTATCTTATTAAACATTTCTTGCAACGTAAATTGTGTAACCCTTTGACGTGCAGTGGTCGCGCCCTGAAACCACCATTTTCTGAATTTTTTTCCTCCTCTTTTTTCCGAAATTCTTGAGTGAAAATGAATTGATTACTGAACTTTTACATCTAAATAACACAAAATGACTGTAGAATAATATATGTTTTAGGTATTAATACTTCAAATTGGATGCCTTTTAAAATTTGTTTTTGATGAATGAGACAAAATAACTTCCTTTTATTAATATAAACAACTTTAAATTTCAAAAGTTAGTCATTGCACATCATGATTTCTATCATAAACAATAAAAAATTGCAGTAATTAAACTGCATATATAAAAAAAAACACTCTATGGCTGGTATTTGCTATGTGATTTCAGGACGCGACCACTGCGCCAATAGAGCATTGTGTCACAATGCTTACAATCCTCTAGAGGCTCGGTGGTCACGCCTTGAAACCACTGGCGTTCGCTTGCTTTTCAAATAGGAATGTTTATTTTTACCCGGATATAGATAAAGGGCTTTGAAACCACAGAATTATTTTATTACTAAACAATGCATGCACCTGCCCAGTAAGAAGGTCTTTCTTTTCCAAATACTTTTCTCTGACATCAACACACTTGCTCCCCAAGCTAGTACAGTCAAAAGTCTTTAATCCGGACTCGTCGGGACTTCGGCGATTCCGGATTATCGATTTTTCCGGATTATAGATCATCAGTTTAAATCTGGTAAGATGGCATGCAGAAATTATAAAATTAAAAATATGAAACCGTAATTTATAAAATAATGAGCAATTATGATCTAAAGGGTATCAAAATTTACCAAAAAAGAAGCCTAATATTTATTTGTTTACTTTATTAAACATTTCTTTCAACGCGCGGATGCGTAAAGCATACCTTACGCATAGCCGAAATTAGAAAATTGCAACCAGAAAACTATTTGATTTGTATTCGTGATATTTATAATGACGACGAATTTGATTTAAATCATATCAAAGACGGAGTACACCGAAATTAAATACTACATTTAGTAAGGAATTATAAGCCGAATAAAATAAAAACATCTGCCCTGAAGATAACGATAGTGTTGACAAATCAACTTCCAGTTCATTGCGCGCTGCGACGTCCCCCCCCCCCCCGCGTAGAGCAGCGTGAAATTGATAAACAGATTTCGGAACGGTTAGATAAACAAAGAATATGCCTTTATCCATTTTTTGTAGCAATTCGTTTTTTGTTTGATGGACATCGAAACATACTTTCGTTTTCTAGATCCTTTGGGAGCTCCAGCATCGGAAATTCTATTTGACATAATCGAAAGTTCAAGCTTACTTTTAGAAAATTGCTCTTACAGTCTGCAAAAAATAATAAGCCGGATCCAATTTGAAGATTAAAGAACAACGCAATCATCAACATTAATTGAAATAGATAATTAGATAATTTTAGCTTATACCGTCCGTTATATATTAAACGCGCACGCGAAAACGTATTCTGCACTTGCGCAGACGCATATGCGCAGTGGTAAATGTCTTGCGCGCACGAGTAAAACGCCTATGCGCATGCTTCAATGCGGCGCATGCGCAGAAAGATTTTAGCTTTGAGGTCCGGATTATAGATCATTCCGGATTATGGGTGTCCGAATTAACGACTTTTGACTGTATTGTGATTTTATAAATTATTTCCTGTGGTTTAAATTTAATGTAAATATACTTTGCTGTAATTAAAAATAGAAATTGCGCAAAAGTTTTATTTAAATTAAAAATATTTTCTGAATATTTTGGGAAACGATCCGTTCAAAGCCAAAAAGACCAAGCCCCCCCCCCATTAACATAAAAAACACAAATTTCATGTGCCAGATGAAAAGAAACTAAATAACACTGGACATATCCTAGTGAAATTTAAATCTAGGCAGTGTACATTTTGTAGCACAAGGAAGAAACCTCATAGAACAAGATGTATATGTGCAATGTGGGTCTATGCATGTACCAAAGAGACAAAACATGCTTTGAGCAGCATCACAAAAAAAAAAATTTGTTCTTTGAAATTAAAAAAAAAAAACACTGAGTTCTTTCTTATTCTTACTTGAGTTTTTTAATTCATTTATCCAAATGTCCTTATTATGTAGGTACTTATATTTTAACTGCTATAGAAAAATTACATAAATGTTTATTTTTTAATTTTTTCTGACGATTTACTTTGTAAAATAATGTAAAAAAAATATATATATAATGCAATTCTTACATACATTTTTTTAAAATCCGTAAATTTCGTCATTTATTGGAAACGCGCGCAGAAAATGGTAAGTTTTTTTTTTTTTTTCTTACTACATCAGTAAGTTTCAAAGTCATAGATGCATGGTGGTTTCACAGTGCGACCACCACCCACAGAGCAATGAGCAAGAGTAGATTTTTTTTAATTCATATATTATTTGTCTCTAGGATCATAATATTCAATTTCTAGAGTTCTTAGCTAAAAAAATTATAAAAATAATATTGCGCGCATCAAAAGGTTAAGTT